AATGGTAAAAATTTAACAATTATGAGACACAAAGAAAGGGTTGAAGGATGAAGTTTGAGAGAGGGATTAGAGAGCAGGAATTATAACCAAAGCTAAAGCAACAGGGTGAGAGGTAAAACACATTACCTCAACCCTGGAATTGTCATAAAATATGGACCTAATATGACTAATATTATTTGTTTGAGAAAATGCCCTTAAAGGGCATGAATGGTTTTCACCAAAACTGATAATTTGTTTTTCGCCTTTCTTTTTTGCTTGAAAAGCAGAGAGACCCATTTACTTCATATCTCATCAGATCTTCTGCGTCAAGCCACGTCATGTTAACTAAGATTCTGCTGTTGTCTCTTCAGATGAGTCTCCTAGGGAGTACTCTTGGTGGGAATATTCTGATCTGGCCAATGGAAGGTAGTCATTGGCTGAATGTTAAGATGATTATAGATGAGCTGATTAAAAAAGAACACAACGTGACTGTCCTGGTTGCCTCTGGTGCACTTTTCATCACACCAACCTCTAAGCCATCTCTCACATTTGAAATTTATAAGGTGCCCTTTGGCAAAGAAAGAATAGAAGGAGTCATCAAGAACTTTGTTTTGACATGGCTGGAAAATAGACCATCTCCTTCGACCATTTGGAGATTCTATCAGGAGATGGCCAAAGTTATCAAGGACTTCCATGTGGTGTCAGGAGAGATCTGTGATGGTGTTCTTAAAAACCAAAAACTGATGGAAAAGCTGAAGAGTAGCAAATTTGAGGTTCTGGTATCAGATCCAGTATTTCCTTGTGGTGATATAGTAGCTTTAAAACTGGGAATTCCGTTTATATACTCCTTGAGGTTTTCTCCAGCTTCAACAGTAGAAAAGCATTGTGGGAAGGTACCATATCCTCCTTCCTATGTTCCTGCTGTTTTATCAGAACTCACTGACCAGATGTCTTTTACTGACAGAATAAGAAATTTTATCTCCTACCATCTACAGGACTATATGTTTGAAACTCTTTGGAAACAATGGGATTCGTACTACAGTAAAGCTTTAGGTATGTAACAATTTTTATTTTATTATTTGAATTTGAACATACATAAATTTGTGTCACCTCTTCTTTAATTCCCTATGTCTACTTTTTTATGACTTTACATATTAATGTACTAATGTTACTAGCACTTGATAGCATAAAAGAAAGTAAAAAACTTCACACTTCAGAACTACAGGGTGCTGTTTTCTAATTTTATGAACTTGAAGGTACCAACTAAGTTCTTTTTTTAAAAAAAAATTCAGAATATTACAGGGGTACAAACACTTTGGTTACATATATTGCCTTGGCACTGCCCAAGTCGGAGCTACAAACATGCCTATCCCCCAGATCTCATGTATCATACCCATTAGGTGTGAATTTACCTGCCCTCTCCTCCTCCCTCCCATCTGCCTGATGCCCTATGAACGTTAATTCCATATGTGCACATAAGTGTCGATCAATTAGTACCAAATTTATGGTGAGTGCATGTGCTGCTTGTTTTTCCATTCTTGTGATACTTAACTTAGAAGAATGGGCTCCAGCTCCATCCAGAATAGTACGAGATTAGCTCCCATTTTTTATGGCTGAGCAGTACTCCATGGCATACACATTTTATTAATCCACTCATGTTTTAATGGACACTTGAGTTGTTTTCACATCTTTGCAATTGGGAATTGTGCTTGCTATGAATATCTGTGTGCAGATGTCATTTTTATAGAATGTTTTTTTTTCCTTTGGGTAAATACCCAGTAGTGGAATCGCTGGATCAAATGGTAGTTCTACTTTGAGTTCTTTGAGGTATCTCCATATTAATTTCCATAGAGGTTGTAATAGTCTGTAGTCCCACCAGCAGTGTAAGAGTGTTCCCATCTCTCCGCATCCATGTCAACATCTGTTATTTTGAGACATTTTGATAAAAGCCATTCTCACTGGAGTTTAATGATATGTCATTGTGGTTTTGATTTGCATTTCCTTGTGATTAGAGATGTTGAGCAATTTTTCATATGTTTGTTGGTCATTAGGCTGTCTTCTTTTGAAAAGTATCTGTTCATGTCCTTTGCCCCTTTCTAATGGGATTGTTCGATTCTTTTCTTGTTGATTTTCCCGAGTTCTATATAGATTCTAGTTATCAGTCCTTTATCGGATGTGTAGCATGTGAATATTTTCTCTAATTCTATAGGTTGTCTGTTTGCTCTGATGATAGTTTCTTTGGCTATGCAGAAGCTTCTTAATTTGATCATGTCCCATTTATTTATTTTTGTTGTTGCCGTGATTTCCTTGGAGATCTTTTTCATAAATTCTTTCCCTAGGCTGATGTCTATAAGAGTTTTTCCAGCATTTTCTTCTAGAATTCTATGGTTTCATGTGTTAGGTTTAAGTGTTATCAATTGTCAATTGATTTTTGTGAGAGGTGAGAGGTGCGGAACCTTTTTCAGTCTTATACATGTGGCTATCCAGTTTTCCCAGCACTATTTATTGAGTAAGAATTCTTTTCTCCAGTATATATTTTTGTCTGCCTTGTGACAGATCAGATGGCTATATGAGGATGATTTTATATCTGGGTTCTTTTATGGATAAAATATAGTGACAAATACCTTAGTTTAAAAATAAGACTGGATCTCATGTAGATATTACATTGAAAATGCAAATGCCTAGAACCTTCAGTGGTGTGTGGAGAAAGCTGGGAGAGATTAAACTTTCTACAAGCCTATTATTAATATCAACATGTGTGTATATGTTTAAGAATATACATGTATATTGATAATCTCTGATTATTTCTTAATAAACATCAATGCTGATAAATAAATAAAACATTTTAAGGCTTGATCATCTTTTTTTGACAATACATGTGTGTCTCTCTGATGGTAACCTCATTTCTATGTATTCTGCTCTCCTATTGCATGCAGATCATTTGGTATGATTCTGCTTTCATACCTAACGTATTACTGAAATTGTCCAAGCAATGCACTTACATGGTGTAAATATGATTATCTTCCCAGGTAGCTACTTCATAATTCCATTACAGCTCATACTTTCTACATAGTCTTAGATAGTGTGTATTTAATATTTTACTTCATTTTCATGACAAACCTCCAAAATGCAGACCTAAGCTCAATGATAATCAGATAGAGGTGGAATATTTTCCACTTTTGACAAGTGGTGTTTCTCTGGCTGTCATTAAATTTTTTATTGATACGTAAAAGATATATATATTTTTAGGGTACGTGTAATATTTTGATATAATGTATGAATGTAATTGGAATACCCGTCATCTTTAATATTTTTATTTTCTTCTTTCTTCATGCTAGGAATATTTGAATTATTCCCTTCAAGCTATTTTGAAATATACAATAGGTCATTGTTAACTGTAGTCACCCTACTGATATATCAAACACTAGGGCTTATTTCTTCTAATGATATATTTGTACCCATTTATCAATCTTGAAACTTCCTCCCCCTCTCTTCGAGACTGCTATTAAGTTTTTGTTTTTTG